AAAAAAGATAAAAATCAAAGAAAAATAGTCTCGAATGGTATTTTTTATTTATCTCTTTTCTTTCTTTCTTTCTTTCTTTCTTTCTTTCTTTCTTGTTTTTTTTATTTTCAAAAATCATTTAGGGACTTTCGACGGGCCCGTTTTAGTGTTAATAGCTCGTATAAATAAAAAAAAAAAAAAATAAAATAAAAAAATAAAAAAGAATTGAATCTCATGTTTTATAATCGAAGAAAAAAAAAATTCATTGGTATAGGAATTGTTTTGTCTTCTTCCTTTTCTTTGTTCTTTTTTTAATTTTCTTTTTTATTTTTTCTTTTTTCTTTTTTCTTTTTCTTTTTCGATTCTCTTTACCTGCGTAAACGATGATACATATGATGAGGGTAATTGCTAGGGAAAGATTTTCGGATCGTCGTAGAAGCATAAGTAGAGGCTCGCCGTTGGTTAAAATCAATCTAACGAAGAGTAGCAGGCCCAGTGCGAATGCCAATCCTGCCAGTAGACCGAGCACGTGTGTCATGTTACTCTGATTCATGCGAAGGAAATAACGTTGGTAGAGCATTTCCACCTGAAATTAGAAAGGCAGATCGTATGCCATCGGAAATGATCAAATTATCGATATTCTCGAGTACTTTCACTTTACATATATATATATATATATATATATATATATATATATATATATATATATATATGTACGTACGTACGTACGTACGTATGTATTTGTATATGTATATTCTTAGAGAAAAAGAGAAAGAGAGAGAGAGAGATATCGAATTATACGATATGAAATCGAATATATTCCTGATAATAATTTTCATTGAATTAGATTTGGCAAGGAGCATTTCTTTTTTTATTTTATTTTATTTTATCTTTTTTTTTTTTTTTTTTTAATTCAATTTAATTTAATTTAATTTAATTTAATTTTATTTTATTTTATTTTATTTTATTTTGTTTTGTTTTATTTTGTTTTATTTCTTTTAAATTACGATCAACATTCGATTTATATATATATATATATATATATATATATATATATATATATATAATTCTTTTTTATATTTCTTTTTATTATGCGTGCATGACCGTGGTGTAAATCATTTATCAAAGGTCTCCTTATCTAATATAATGCAACAAAAGAAATCGCTTAGAATGTTAGAGTCATATTATGGATTATTCGTTAAAAGCCATACGATTATCGAGAATTATCGAGTTACCATGGCGACTGATAGAGAACTTCCGTGAAGATGGAAGTCACTAAAAGCTCCGCCATCTATCAATCTCTCTCTCTCTCTCTCTCTCTCTCTTTCTCTCTCTGTCTTTCTCTTTCTCTCTTTCCATTCGAAAAGCTTTGAATTTATAGATAAAAATAGACAACTTGTGTGTTGTGTGTGTATACGTTCGTGTATGTATGTACGTTTGTGTATGCGTATGTGCATGTGTGTGTGCGTTTGTGTGTGTATGTGTAATGTGCGAATAGTATTCCTTGAACAACTGCATATATCTCAAACAATGTTCCTCAATTTCGTCATAAATCTGTCTCGTTTAATACCCTCTTCGTACATAGATATGCACATACATACGTACGTACATACACTTGTGTGTATGTATGCATGTATGCATGTATGCATGTATGCATGTATGTATGTATGCATGTATGTATGTATGTATATATGTATGTATGTATGTATGTGTATGTGTGTGTGCGTGTATTTACAATGTACATATACCCATGTAGTATGTTTCGATAAGCGATGCACTTCCGAACGACACTAACGATACATAAAATTAATAAACGCCTGGGACTCCCGGTACAATCTTTATATATTTCTATGTATATATGTATATATGTATATATATATATGTATTATATATATATATATGTATCTCTCTCTCTTTCTCTTTCTCTCTCATTTTCTCTCTCATTTTCTCTCTCTCTCTCTCTCTCTCTCTCTCTCTCTCTCTCTCTCTCTCTTTCTCTCTCTGGTATCATCATCACGAATCACTATTTATAGCGATAGATAGATAGATATGTCAGTTCGATCCGTTTAATAGGGATTAACGTGAGCAAATAATGAAAAGATTTCTATAAACGATGAATTGCGTCATAATATCAAACGGGATGTGTTATCAGTTAAAGTTTTTCCCCCAAATAATGTTTAACAATTTATCCTTCGACATCGTGTACTAAAAAGTTATCAATGTCGCGATTCTCGAAAAAACCACCATACAGACGTATGTACACACAATACACACTTACATACACATATATATATATATATATAACGTATACATAAAATTGTATGATCGATAACTCGACGAAACTATGTAAGATGGAGAGTTTTGAGATCATGACTCATTCATGGGCAATGCGATTAATCGACTATATGATATTCCATTTTTTTTTTTTTTTTTTTTTTTTTTATGGATTACCATCGTTCGATTGATCATCGAAAAAAAGAGAGAGAGAGAGATAAGTAGTTTTTGAGAGGGAGAAATTTAGTTTTTTTTCTTCTTTAGAAAGAAGTCTCTGTCTTTGTTTCCGATCTTTTTTTTTTTTTTTTTTTTTTTTTTTTTTTCTTTTTTTTTTTTCTCTCCGTAAAGTAACGTAAGTGGCGGGTTTATACCCGAAATGTTATAATGGATTCATCCATACACACACTTGACGATGAAATATCGTGTAAATTTAAATATTTTTTGGGTCCATATTTTATATTTTTTTTTAGATCATTATCGTTCGATCGATCATCCAAAAAACAGAGAGAAAAAGATAGATAGATAGATAGAGAGAAAGAGAGAGAGAGAGAGAGAGAGAGAGAGAGAGAGAGAGAGAGAGAGAGAGAGAGAGTGAGATTGAGAGAGAGAGAGACAAGTTTAGCTTTTTCCTTTCTTTTTCTTTTTTTTTTCTTTTTTACACGAAGTTTCTCTCTCTTTGTTTCCGATCCCTTTTATTTTTTTTTTCTTTTTTTCTTTTGTTTTGTTTTGTATAAAGGTATAAGTGGCGGGGTTATACCTGATAAGGGTACATCCATGCGTAACACACTTGACGATGAAATATCGTGTAAATTTAAATATTTTTTGAGTTCACATTCTATATTTTTCTGTCTTTTTTTTTTTTTTATTTTTTTTTTTGTGTTACACTCGCATGTATAAAATACATGTATGCGCGTATACGTCCATACCCATTTCGTTCTAAATATTTACGAGTACACGAAAGCTTTCGCTATGATATATGTATTCGTTGAACGGGTAACACAGACGTAGATTCGCGATTCGCGATCCACGATTAAATTCTAAGGGAGGTAAAAAAGAAAATATTGTTTTGTAAATCTTTTTTTAATACAACAACGACATACCGAGTAACAATACTCCATTATATCGATTCATTCGAGTGGCAAGAGAAATGGGAAAAAAAATAAAGAATAAAAAAGAAAAGAAAAGAAAGAAAAACGAAAAAAAAAAGAAGAAAAAAGAAGAAAAAAAGGAAAATCCTTCGTTATTTGGATTTCGATTCGTTTTGTGTTAACCATTAAATGTTTCACCCTGATAGCATTAGTAATTAAATGAAACGTAAAATTTTTTTAATGATTGATGAAAAAAAAAGAAAAAAAAAATTTTTTATATATATATATATATGTGTGGGTATACGACTCTTATATCTGAAGTAAATTTTGATTGAGCGATTGTTAGTTATTAAAGAACGAATGGATGAAAAACAAAGCAAAAAAGAAAAGAAATACATTACGATCATTTGTCGTTAATAATTAAAATTTAAGAAAAATCAATACGTCATTTACGTTTATAATTTCATTCACGTTCATTTCCTCGACATTATTGTATTAAAATATCCGACGTTTTCAAAATCGTATCATATATCGACACGTATAATTTTCTAATCAATTATAAAGATTTCTTAACCGATTAAATAGCATTTACATACGTCAATAACAAAACTGTTTTAAATTAAACATATAAATAAATATATATACAGGGTGAGCTAATTTAAATGTTTCTAAATTATGTTTCAAATTCGATTATATATACTTTTTCGAAACTGCTTTGACCTAATTTTTTTCTTTTTTCTTTTTTCTTTTTTTCTTTTTTTTTTCTTTTTTTTTTTTTTTTACAAATTATAAAACTTAACAAATTTAACTATTAAAACTTAGTAGAGGTTAATTTTACAATGCCTAAAAAAGGAAAGTCTCGAAGAAGAGTAATCGATTGTTAAAGCAGTTAAAAACTTTTGGTAATACCCTGTACATATATTCGTATGCGTTATAAGTATGTATGTATGTACATACTATCTATACTTTATATATATATATATTTTCTCTCTCTCTCTCTTTCTCTCTCTCTCTCTCTCTCCGTTTTTATTATGTCATAAGCTCTTTATAATTACAGGAAGAAAACAAACCCCTTCAAAAATTGGAAATTATTAACGAAAATGTATTAATACTTAATCGTTAAAGACTTAACGACTCCATTATAGTTCCTTATAATTCGAAATGATTCTAATTCAATTAACATATCGTTTAAATATGTATATATGTGTGTGTGTGTGTGTGTGCGTGTGTGTATGTGTATATATCATTGTAATGTTTCAATGATTTATCTCTACTTTTTTTATTTTTTTATTTTTTTTTCTTTTTCATTCTTTTTATTTACCATTTTTCTTCCTTCAATTTCTCAATGGGCTCTAAGCAATAATGAGAAAAGTTTCAATAAGAAATTTCTTGTTTAGTCAAGCTTTTTCTTTTCTTTTAAGAAACGAAAATATTTGAAATTCATTTTAAACGGATCTGTCATTTCTGCTACCATTCATTTTCATTTTCCTTTTTTTCTTCTCTTTCTATATTCGTCGATTCGTTCGTTCGTTCGCGCGTGCACGCACATACGATTTTAAATTTTGAAAATGAAAGTTTCCAGAAAGTTGCTTTTGATTGGTTTATGTTTTAACGTAAACCCATTGACTTATTAGATCTAACGTATTACGCGTCAAATTACAATTGATTATCAACACGCGTCAAGTCGATAATATTAAATACACATACACACACACACACACACACATATATATTATATGTTATATACGGACTTTCATCTTGTTTTAGTTGAGTTATATAAAGTAGATTATAAACTTCGTCGTGTTGGGGTGCATAGTCCGTGAAAATAAATGATCCGTATTTCCATGAAACATCATTAGACGAACTCCGTATTACGTGTACCATCAGTCGTGTATATCGATTATAAAATTAATTTCATTAAACGTATTCGAAGAAGAAGAAGAAAAAGAAGAAGGAGGAGAATGATGATGATGATGATGATGATGATGATGATGATGATGATGATGATGATGATAATGGACCGTTCGATCGGAATTCTCGAAGAGAATTCCACGAATATTTTTTTATTGAAATATCTTATTGTCTTATTGTCTTATTGTCAGTAATATACATACGTAAGTTTTTCTATATAAGTAATTTTTCTAGTAATAGTTAAATGAAAAAAATTATTCATCCGATTTATCGATCATTTTTTCTCTTTTTATCTTCTTCTTCTTCTTTCTTCTTTTTCTTTTTTTATATTCGATCTTACTTTTTCATTTGTTCGTTTGTTTCAGAACCAATCTTCTTTTTTTTTTTTTTTTGTATATCATACGAAGACACGCGGTACTTATAAATTAAAAAAAAAAGAAAAAAAAAAGATAGGAAAGAAAAAATTACTTATCAATTTTCAGACATTTAATTTACGCAATAAAAGTTTTTTGTACCGTGCGCGAAAAGAATAATACATGTCGTTTTATAAATTTGATTAGGGAAAAAAAAAAAAAAATATGTTTTTTTTCATATTACGCTGAAAGAATAACGCAGAAGGTATTTATAAATTTCATCGAAAAGATAAGAGAAGAGAAAAGTAAATAATCTTCTCGTTTTATACATTCGTCAAAAAAATATTCTTATGTAATACGAAAAAAAAAAAAATTATTGACACTTGCCATTTATGAGTTTGATCTAAAAAAAAAAAAAAAAAAAGAAAAAAACAGGACGAACAAATATTATTCGATACTTATTGATAGATCGATACAAGAGAAAAAAAAATAAATAACAATACACATCCACTTCTTATAATATTTTTTTAACGAAAAAAAAAAATTCTAATAAAAAATAGAAATGATTCATATCGACGCATTTTTACCTGGAGATTTTTGAATCGATGAGACGCGCAAAGAGAGCTTAGAAATCTGCATAGGGCGCATCCAGTAGGTGGTAGAGTTATTCCCGGACTAGAGACAATTTCCGGTATTGGTTCCTTTCCGGCGACATTGATACCAACACCGACTTCCGATCCTCTGTTCATCTGTAAAATATTAATCATCTTAATTTACGTAACGCGATCATTTATTTAAACGATTTTCGAAATAATAAATTCTCATAGATTACTAAATAGGATCAATGTCGATCGTTACGATGGAAAAATAAAAAAAAAAAAAAAAAAAAAGAAAGAAAAATAAATAAATAAATAAAAAGTAAGAAAGAAAATAATTCAAATATATATCCATAACTAACGAATACTACGCTAATGCGTTAAACAGCCTAATTTATGAAGTAATTCTAATACAGATTAGACTTAAATGTTTCCCCGAGTGATTTGAAGGAAAAAGAAAAAAAAAAAAAAAGAGAAAAAAAATCGATTACTCTTTACTGAAACTTTTTAAGCTAACATATTTATTTTTTCTCTTCATTTATTTATTTATTTTTTCTTTTTCTTTCATATCGCTAAATCACGAGCCAAAAACTACGAAGACATAAAGAAAAAAAAAAAAAAAAAAAAAAAAAACTACAAAGTTTCGCCAAATAAGTGATTGATTTTTTAAGATCAGTTAAAAACCTTTTATTTATCTGAACTTTTTTCTCTTTCAAATTATTTATTTATTTATTTATTTATTTATTTATTTATTTATTTATTTATTTATTTATTTATTTATTTATTTATTCATTTATTGAATCAATCAAACATAAAGAAGATTTCTCGTACGAACATAATGTCTTTCTTCTTGTTCCCTGAAGTGGAAGATTTTAGGGAGAGTGTTTTCGAAGTGTTCACACACACACACACACACTTTCTCTCTCTCTCTCTCTCTCTCTCTCTCTTTCTCTCTTTCTCTCTCTGTTTCTGTCTGTTACATTCTCTTAAACATTCTCTAACGATCAAAGGAAAACCTCCTACCGTGATAATGGAGGGACGAGGTGGGCCAGTAAAGTGCTCGATAACCTCCCAGTTAGACTTCTTAACAGGAGTGTGCGGTGTCTTTGGTGTATTAGGTGTATGTGGAGTATGCGGCTGAGACGAAGGAGTCGAAGGTTTCGATCCTGGTGGATCGAGAAGTAATTCGACTCGTGGTTTACCACCGTCATTGTTTACGGTATGTTGTCGAAGACTCGCCCATCTTCTTGTACTCTTCAATGATCCAGTTGTCGACCTTCCGCTTCCTACGATCTCGCTCTAATAAAATATAGAATGAAATATAATAAAATAAAATCGATAGAAAACAATCGAGACGATTTAAAAGTTCACAAAAAAAAAAAAAAACACACGAAAGATTTCAAATCTGATTTTCGATAAGATATATATATATATATGTATGTACGTATGTATGTTTGTATGTATGTATATATGTATGTATATATCTCAATTGATATGTAGATAAAATTATGTTAGATAAAAACTTGATTAAATAAAACGACCAGGAGTTGCATAAATTTTAATACCCATTGATGAAATTGTTCGAGAATGGATAACATCTGTTGTTGTTGTAATTTGAATTGATGTATTAAATCGAGATGATCGATAATCAATCATTCGATAAATGAAATTTTGATAAATTATTCTTTTTTATTATTATTATTATTATTATTATTATTATTATTATTATTATTATTATTATTATTATTATTATTATTATTATTATTATTATTATTATTATTATTATTATTATTATTATTATTATTATTAAAATTATTATTAAGACGATTATAATGGATGAAATTACAAGATATGATAAAAAAAAAAAAAAAAAAAAATTTCACGATGTCGATAATCATTGACATTTCGATAATTTTAACATATTCATTTCTATATTTTATTCACTATAGAATACTACATCTATTTCTATATTACATTCAAATCGATATAAATATTAGAAACGAAAATTAGAATTAGAATTCATTTATATATAAATTTGACTTAGAATGGGTATTTAGTATTAGAATTCTCTTAGAGAGAATATAATTCTTGGAATGTTGATTAATATTAGAATTCTTTTAGGTGATAATATTTTAATAGATTTTAATGGATCGTCAAGTTCAATTGCAATTAAAATTTTTCTTCTTCGAATATTAAATTTTTTTTTTGTTTATCATTGTGATTTCATTCACTATCATTTCTCTCTCTCTCTCTCTCTCTCTCTCTCTCTCTCTCTCTCTCTCTCTCTCTCTTTTCTCTTCGAAATCAAAATTCTTCACGTATAGATTTTTCTCAAATTCGATATCATCATCCTTTCTCTTTCTTTTCTTCTCTCTATCATCTCTTTCTTTTTTATCTCTCCATCTTCCCGTGTCTTTTTTATCGTGAATGTAATCACAAACGTTAGTAACACACATACACACACACGTGTGTATGTACGACGCGTGCTTAGAAAATAAATGCGAAATTTCTACTTCGAATTTTTCGAGTAAGTTCTTTTATGAGTATCGTATTTTCTCTTTTTATCTCCCTTCTATCTTCTCTATTTATCTATCTATCGGACTTTTTCGATTTATATGAACAAAGTAGACTTTAGGATTCTTCTTTTTCTTCTCTCTCTCTCTCTCTCTCTCTCTCTCTCTCTCTCTCTATCTATCTATCTATCTATCTATCTATCTCTATCTCCCTCTCTCTCTTTCTCTTTCAGTCTCTCTTTCTTTTTTCTTCCCGAGTTTTCTTCTCCGTTTGGTGATATCAAAGATTGCTACTCTCGATTTATCTTCGATGCTTATTTACTTTTGTCGTTTGGTTCCTTTGATACATATAACTCTCTCACTACCCCGCTCTTCCTTCTCTATTTTGTACTTTCTTAATTTCTTTCTTTTTCTCTTTCTTTCTTTCTTTCTTTCTTTCTTTCTTTCTTTCTTTCTTTCTTTATTTCTTTCTTATCGCCATATGACGCAAAGGTTTTCTTATCAAAAAAAGCTTATTCGAAAAATTTATTCAATTCGTAAGCGCAAGCGCAATATTAGTTTTTATTATTCTTTTTTTTTTTTTTTTTTTTTCTTTTTCCTTTTATCGACGAAAAAATTGTATACCAAAGAAACGATTAAGATAAGCTTCTATACGGATTATTACCGCCGACCCTTCCCTCGTCCCTTTATTTTTTCTGTACTTTTTTAATTTCTCTCTTCTTTCCGTTAATTTTCTTCATTAATTTTTTTCTCCTTTCTCTCTCTCTCTCTCTCTCTCTCTCTCTCTCTCTCTCTCTCTCTCTCTCTCTCTCTCTCTCTCTCGCTCGCTCGCTCGCTCGCTCCCTTTCTCTTTCTCTTTCACTTTTTTTCTCTTTTCTAATAAAAAATAGATCAGCCATCGCAGTTGAGATACAATTTGAAATTAAAGCCACGTCCGATGCATGCATCTTCCTTTGGTGGCACTTAACGTTCACTTTTCGAGATTGCTACATATACAAGATTTATCACCAACGAGAAGAGCAATATCTGTTTACATCGTTTATTCATTTTTTTTAATAACATCGTTCAGTGTCGTATGATTTATATGCTAATGATATGAATTTAAATGTTATCCACTATGTGTATATACTATATGTGTGTATATATTATATAACGCAAGTTGACCGACAAAAATTTCTAGCTGGGCCAAAAGTTCATAGGTAAAGTTCTTTTTCTCTTTCTTTCTTTTTTTTGACAGTTAGACTTTTGTATTATTACGATTCGAAAATAAAAAGGACGAACAAGAA